GGGATTTGAAAAGGTTTTACATTGGTAAACAAAGCCCCCTTTCCAAAGTGTCACTTACTGCATCACTATCTTACACTTATCTCCTCAAAGTATGCATAGTATGTGGCTGCACCACAGCATTCGAGAGACAGGGCACGATGAAAGGCTAAAAGCCTGTCACTTCAGTAACACCTAAGGAAAATGACCCAGTTGCTAGTTTAAGAAGGTGGGAAAGGGTGCTAAGCCATATCTGGCTTGTTCACCACTGTATGTTCAGTGCTTGGTGCTAGGTCTGCAATTCAGTAAGTACTTAAATATGGACTAGTGACCAATCTTGAACTTGACTGATCCAACTGTCTTTCTTTTTCCTTTATTAGTAGTGTTGGGTTTGATTGAACCCAGGGCTTCATGCAGTCTGGGCAAGTGCTCCTTGCTACATCCTCACCTACCATTTTTTTGGGGTGGGATGTGTTGTAGTAGTATGGAATAAAATTCTAGACAATAGCAACTAATTTATAATTTTCTATTGAAGTAGAATCCTGACTAGTTAATTATCAATGTATACTGCCTGCCTGCTGTGACTAAAGCTATATGGATCATTTGGAATTGAGAGAAAGCTAAAGGAGGAAAAGTCCAAGATTGAGCTCCCTCTCACTCCTCCCCTGGCCTCCAATAAATGGTCTGAGATAAAGGGAATGCAGATGTTTTCAACCTTTAAAAAGACAGCCTTAACTTACTTTCTCCAAAGAGTTGGGAAATCAAGAAAAATGATATTGGGGAAAAAGTAATTTTACTTAAGAAAGCCAGAAAATTAGAGCTCTTTATTTGCTGAAGTAGCTTTTAAAAATCATGACTTTTCCACAGCTTTTTGCCAGAAGCTGGGCTATACCTATCTGAAGTGTCACATTCATTTAAAATGTCCTTAAAGGGAGAGATCACAATAGTTTACTCTCCTAAAGGGATGGTCGTTTTAGGCTTCAGTTAACATAATGTAATGGAAACGTTTCTAGGAGATCAGAACACAAGGAGAGCTCCTTAAGGCCTGATGTGAGACACAGGAACAAAGTCACTTGAGAAGTGTGACCCTGCAAAAGATGGAACCCAGCTTCTTCCTGCCCTGGAGCCAGTGCTACAAGGCAATAGCATTTCCCAGCCAAATTCTATTAAACAAAATCCCAGAGATATTTTTCTTCAAAATAATTCTGATTTAATTTCTTCCTTTCTATAAAAAGACAAATCACATTTCAGAGAATACTGTTTAGGTTATGAGGTTCCCATCAGTGCTGTTTTGCAATACGTGTTTACATAATCTGAAATGAAGTCGGCAGTCAGCTGTAAAACTGGGGCCAGCCAGGTCAGCTTGTATGCATGTGAGAGATTAATTTCACTCTGGATCACAAACTCATGTAACACTCTACTATCTTGGTGTCAACTAGATGTGGAATTGATTTTGGACATTCAAATTGGAATGAGGCAGTTAAAAACAAAAACAAAAACAAAACCACCAGATTCTAAAAAGCAATACTCAGTACTCTGAAAAGAAAATGTGTAGCAGCAATATTTTCTGCTGTTATCAATGAACTCAAACATTTGACATTTTTAATGCTGATACTTAAATAAGGCAAATTTTTGGAGAGGAGATATCTTCCTGTTTGTACTATCCAATATGTTACTCATTATTTCCTCTATTAATCAATTCTACTTTGCTGTCAAGATTCACAGAAGTGAATAATGCAGTATGTTAAAAATACAAAGAGAATAAGAGCATAAAGAAGCAGTTAAGGCTGGGTATGATGGCTCACCCAGCTACTTGGGAGGCAGAGACTGGGAAGACTGAGGTTTGAGACCACCCTGGGCAAAAAAACCAATAAGCTGGGTGTGGGGGTATGTATCTCTCATCCCAGCTACAAGGGAGGCATAAATAAGACTGTGATCCAGGCCTGCCAGGGCAAAAACATGAGACACTATCCAAAAAATAACTAAAGCAAAAAGGGTTATGGGCATGGCACCTGCCTAGCAAGTGCAAGACCCCGAGTTCAAACTCTAAGATTGAAAAAAAAAAAAAACAGTTAAACACATCTCATAAAACTTGTCTCAGAGGAAATTTACCCAAATAAAAACAAATACGTTTAATACATAAGATTCTGTTTGCTGATGAATGTACCCAATATTTAAATTCTGCTGGATTAGGAGGAGCCTGAAGATGGGTCCTTGTTGCTTTACAGTTCAACTTCCTTTACCAGCCCTCCCTCGGGTGCCAACTGAAAGGGATCTCTATCTGCCTGCCTCTCTTTCTGTAATAGTTCTTAACATAAACTATTTTTCTTCCATTGTTAATTGTATACAAAATTTCTTTATTAGATTAAAGTTCCTTTAAGATATGTATGATGTCTTATACATCTTTATGTCCTCCAAAGCAAGGACACTGTAGTTTATTCAATTATTTATAGAAATGGATAAGTCAAAACACAAATAAAAATTCTCTTGATAAATTCCAAGTAGAAACAGAAAACTCCTCTACTGCTACAGTTAGCAGCTGCATAGTATTTTAAAAATATACTTAATGTAAGTGAAGTACTTCCCTTTAATATATTTCCTTCTTATGGATAAATTTGGTCCCTATTCTACTGCATTTTTTGGGGTGGGGGTGTGTTGATGAACTGATTTTGGCTGACCATCCACAGGTGTCAAACTTATTTTTAATTTTTTTGTCCTTTCTGGTTTAGTATTAGCATACCACATACTCATCCATAGGGTTTGTAAAGAAGTCCTCTCTAAACAACCATTTTAAATTTTATAATGTCCTCAGTTGTGTCTTAAATAAGCTAAATTCAAAGCAACTCAGGCTAACCACATAAAAGCAAAGAGTGAAGGCAATTTATTAGAAAGCTCAAGGAGATGGCAGTAGAGAGTCTAAAATTAATTGCCATGTGATTTAAATGAGTTCATATCTTGTCATTCTAATACGTGTGAGCCAGGACACACACACGCTCATACACGGAGTTCCGAGACCAAACCGAAAAATAGACCAAAGGAGTCAGTCTTATGAAAAGAAACAAAAGAAGACAAAGCCATTCAGCTTAAATCTAACATAGAACTTCAGAAGTTTTGACTGTCACGTTATTCAAAGAAAACAAAAACAACGATCTGTACTGTTTTTGTTTAGAAAATAACATTCCTTGTCATATTTCCTTTGTCCATTAAATAGCCCAAATCACATCAACTTATTTTTGTGTGTATTAAAGCATTCAAGTATGTTATTGAAAAGAGATGATGAAAACACTGTCTCTGAAATTCTTAAAGACAAGAGCAGCAACTAGGAACAAACAAGGATTAAGACTAAAATCTCTTCAAGTGTCCAGCTTCGAATCTTGCGTCTCTCTCCGTCACTACACTCCTAAGACAGGTTAACAGAGGGTCAAGACATCTAATGCACAATTTTCCAATTAGCATGTTTCTGCTAACAAAAACTTTTCAGATTACCTTCATAATAAATGTAACTTCAAAAGGCTATTAGTGGCATATTAAGGTTTGTAGAGATGAAATGACATAATGTCTGAGATTGGCTTTAAAATGTATCAGTAGGAAAAAAAGGACAGGTGAAGCAAATGCAGCCAAGTCTCATAATTATTAAACCTAAGATGGTGCATGGGAGTATATCATATTATTTTACTCCGTGTGTGCTTGAGGATCTTCATAGTGAGACTTAAAAAAAGAGCTTTGAGAACTAGAGCTCCTCAATATACAACTGTTTGTCTAGGAACAGGATGGAAAACTTTGCTGAAAGAAACTAAGGCTGGTGTTAAATCTGGGGCTCCTTACTGCAGTTATAAAACCCATTCCACCCATTTTTCTCAAAGGAAGGAAGAATAACACAAATCTACATACTGCCCTGCAATGTGAACTCTGTAGCAACATGATGTATTTTTAAAGTTAGAAAAATCTAAATGTTGGTGAACACAGAGGCTATATTACATGGAAGACATTTGGATTCTGGTTTGGGTTTTAGTTTGGGAGAAAAATGGGAAGACTGTTAATTCCCAGAGTCCAGTTTCCTCTTAATCCTTTTCTTAGGTCTAAGTTTTTCTTATGGGGATGTAACTGCAGTTACAGGAACAAGCAGGTATGTGCGGGGTGTCTCCTTCTGGAGGTCATACCCTAAGAAGAATAACCCTTTCCCTGTGGTAAAGAAGCCATTCTCCTCTTCCCCCACAGCACCCCACTTCCCAGCCCCAGGACAAGGATACACTGGATAGACCTTCACCCTTCCTGGTCCTTTCTCCATTCCCTTTCTCCCTGTGAGGCCTTATATGCCCCATTCTGATCATACCCACTGGTCCTGTCATGACAGCCTATGTAATTCTCAAAGATTAAAAACAAAACAAAACAAAACAAAAAAGAGTCCCTGGGTCTGTGGGGACAATCACCTTGCTCCATGCAAGATCTGGTTGGGGAAATGTAAATTCAACCTAAGTCACTGGAACTGGATTAGAAATAAAAGAAGAGTCAAACGGTAACAAACTCTCCTTTATTTTGTATACATTTTCTGATCATGAGACCCATACTAACACTACTTTTAAATTTTTTTCTTCAAACAGATTAAAGATTCAGATAAAAATTCATTCATTAACACTGATGCCATGGATACTTCTTTTTAAGAATGAGGTATTTTTGGTTTACTGTCCCAAACAGTAGAGGTTTAGGAAAACTGTAAAAATGGCCTAGCAAGTAAGAAAGTGAAAGTGAGTACACAGTGAAACAGAAAACAGAAACAGGATCTAGCTGCCGTGGCACCCTGAGAATTCTTACTGTAGCCAAAATAAATCCATCCACCTTACAGCTATAAAAAGCAAAACTTGGCACGATTTTTCCTAAGAAAATGAGGATGAAGAGGTGAGTGAAGGAGAATCATAAACAGACTAAGATCATTCTTATTGCCTCCCTTCCCATCTAATAAAAAATACTAAATGCACCACTATTTCCCTTATTTTCAAATTTTCTTAGAGAAACATTTAGAATTACAGCAACAACAGCATTTACAAGTGAGTTTATGTAGAACTGTTGTCAAGGCTCAAAGTATTGTGAAAGATCTCCAGGAAACAGTTTTCACATAAAAAACTGACTGATTAGGTTAGCGAGGCCCAAAATCATGATGAAAACGTGAAAGATTAATTTAGGCCACGTCAGACGCTTTTCTTGGTGGAGGCAAATTATATAGATGAGAGACGGATATATGAATACAAAGGCCAGGCCACATGCAGCTCCCGAATATCTGCAAAATAAAAGCTTTCGAGGTTAATATTCATCTCACATTTTGCTTCTTTGATTTATAATTGAGGTAAATATAGTACAGTTTAAATCCTACTCATTCTCATGTGGTAACAAAATTATTTTTGATTCATTTGTTGCTGACATTTGGGTTTAAAATTCATTTTACTTGTTCAGTTAATATAAAATATTATTTCCTGCTTGTCTTTATAGCATCTGCTTGATAAAGAGTTTTTATTCATCCTTCAAATATCCACAGTTCCTCTGTGTTTCGGGGATTGTGGCTCCTTCCTCAGAAACATCTGGAGACAGGCCTCCCATCTTTGATCTTTATAAACTAATTACACATTCTGACTTTGTGAGGGACAGTTTGCATCTGTTTAAGAATAAGAACAGATGAGTGCCTCAAAAGCATTCAGCATAATTATCAAAGGTAATAACAAAAATACCTACATATAAGACTGACAGGGAAACAGGCATTTTTTTCCTTCCTTTCCCCGTTTTCCTGAGGAGCAGCTTAATAGGAACTCATAAATCCTTATATTCCTGAGCATCATGCTAATAATCTCCTTGTTTCTTGTTACTTTCTTAGATACAGGTCTTCCAAAATTTGATTCAGCCCTGCTGCCTATATTAAGGAAGAGAAACCAGATGATTCTAAACTAAGTTTCCCCAGGAGAATCTGAGGTCACAGCGTTATTCCCACCATATCCAACTAGTTGTGACTTTTTTTGGGCAAGGGCCATCTTGTATGTAAAATCTTAACTTTCTGACTACAACTGACAATGAAATATGTTTTGAGGTAGAAATGGATCATGGAAGTAAAAACAGAGACTTGACATAAAAAGGACCTCATGGGTTCTCCCAAGAAGTTATACATTATATAATAAAAATAACTTTATTTTGGATAAAGAGAAAGGAAATACAGTGGAACATGAGAAAAAGAAAAAGAAAGGTATGTGAGGCTATGGGATAATGGGGCATCTAGAGTCAGTTCTCCACCAGGATAAACAGAAGTGGATTTAATGAGCACCTCAACTGCTACCAGGGAACTACATTTGAATGCTACTGGGTTTAAGAATTCCCAGAAATTTCATACAATTAAGACAATAATGACAACAGCGACAAGAGGAAAGGCCTAAGTAAAGGCCTATTTACAAAAGAACACAATTCCCTACAGGTAGTACCTTATGATCCCTCCTATGTTGGGGTAGAAACAGGCCATCAACACGCCAGCTCCCACAGTAATTAGATTAAGAATCAGCACGTGGAAAATGCTAGAAGGTGAGAATGGAGTTTAAAGAGAGAAAAATATAAAAATAGGCAAATTATAATCACTATTATGAGAATAAAATTCGTTCTTAACATCGTTAAAATGAGTGTTTTAACGTTCCCAGTAAAATCAACAAAAATGGAAGGCAACAATACCTTTCAGTGCTGGTCTCAAAAATGACACTGGCCTTTTTATGCAATTACCTAACTAGGCTATATAACTGTAGGTACAAACTGGTAGAATGGTTATAGATTCATATTCTTTGATCTATAATTCCATTTAGAATATCTTGAGAAAGTAATCACAACCAGAAAAAAAGCTAGATACAGCAAGGTAACAATTTATCTGATAGAATACAGTAAAAACTATTAAAAACAGTTTATCATTATTACATGGATTGCTAAAACTCATCTAAGCAACCTGGAAAAAAGCTTGCTGGATTTTCATTACACAAGAAAATCCAACTGGGTGTGGTGGCTCACACCCATAATCTCAACTATTCAGGAAGATTGAAGTTTGAAGTCAGCCTGGCCAAAAATGTGAAACAGAATCCAAAAAACAACTAAAGCAAAAATGGCTGGGGGGCATGGCTTAAGTGGTGCAGTGCCTGCCCTATAAGCATGAGGTCTGACTTCAAACCCCAGTACTACCACCAAAAAGGAAAAAAAAAGTCCAAAAACATTTGAAAAAATAACAGAAGGAAAAATACTGAAAAAGCAGTAATGAATACATTATTATCTGTGATATCAGGTAATATTTCCTCCTTTCTACATTAAATAAATTTTTATAATGTGTTTATCTCACATTTACAATAGAAAAATAAGTTTATGTTATCAAACCTGGCAGTTTGAGGCCAGCCAGGACAAATAGTTCACAAGACCCCAAAATAACCAGAGCAAAATGGACTAGGGGTGTGGCTCAAGTAGTAGAGTGTCTGCTTTGCAAGGGTGAAGCCCTGAGTTCAAACCCCAGTCTTCCCCATCTCTCCACACACACACACACACACAAAGATTACAGAGAGAATAAAAAATAAGAAAAATTATTTATATTATAAGTGGGTTAGTCATCCATCCTGATAAACTACAAAGATATTAGGCTTTAAGATCATGCTATTTATCTAGGAACTTCAACCTTAAAATTGCTGCAGAGCTTTGCAACATTGGCTGGGTCTTTGTTACTTCTGTGTTGTAAAAGGCAACAACTCTGCATTTTCCTACATAGTAATTTTCAAAGTGTGATCATGAGGCCCAGGGGCTTTCCAATACCCTTCTAGGGAGCACTCAAAATGAAAATAATTTTCATAATAATACAAGATATTATTTGCTTTATAAAAGTAATAGTGGATAAACTGATGGCCCCTTACCACGGGTAAGAGCAATCGCACCTGTCTGTATCCTACACTGTATTCTTTACTGCCAAGCACTCTCAAGAGAAAAGAAAAAAGTTTTATTAACAATGTCCTGGAGAGGGCACTGGGATGTGACTCAGTGGTAGAGCCCTTGCCTAGCATGCACAGGGCCCTGGATTTGATTTCTGCCTCCAACTCCCCAAAATCTCCCTGATAAAGGAGTAAAGCTTAGTTTTATTAAAACTCATACTTGAGTATACATCTTTATAATACCACATGTGATCAAGTGGGAAGTACGTAATTAAGCACATAAGCACATGTGCTACATGCGAAAGTATGATGGCTGTCTTGAGGACAAGTACTTAACCAATGGAGGCCACCTAGCTGGTTTTCCCAACAAATGCTATTTTTACTTGACATGCAGGCAATGGTCACCCACACTTGGGTGTTTCACATATTGTTGTTATTATTATCATTATTTTGTTGTTGTTGTTTTTTTTTGTGACAGCATCTTACTGCATAGCACTGGCTGGCCTCAAACAATCCTCCTGATTCTCCTGCCTTTGCCTCCCCAGTGATGGAATTATAGGCATGTACCACCATACCTGGTAGGCATGATAATGAGCTTGTCACTTTCAGGAAAACACCTAATGGTATTTGTTGGCAATGATAACATTTAAGATTTCAAATAAAAACTAGAAGTTTGGAGAACCTGCATTTGTTACCCTGATTTTAACAGTTTTCCAATATTTAAAGAATTTAGGATGAAATTGATAATGATATTAGTGAACATAGTTCAGTAATGCATAATGACATGTACTAACATGAACAGAACTCAATGAAAGGATATGGAGCAAACATAATGTTACAAAATCATGCCTGGGTAAAAGAACCAAAATGGGAGATCAATAGGTTTTAACGTAACAAAATTTCATATTGTACACTGCAATCAGTTAAGAAAGGACTACTTGTCAAGTTTTGGCATGGTATCAAAGACGAATATTCAGGATGATCTGAAAGGCTAGTAAAAAAAAAGTACTCCTTCTTTTTTCAACTATGTATATACATGAAGCTGGATTTTCTTCACGTGTTTAATTGAAACAATAAAGTACAATAGAAAACGCAGAAGCAGGAGAATCTGCTGACCAGAAAAGCAGACATTAAAGTGTTCTAAAATACAAAACAAAAACATTTTGGAAAGTATTTTTCATAAAAATATTATTTATGTTCATGAGTAATTTTTTTTTTTTTTGCAGTACCAGGGCTTGAACTCAGGGCCTATACCTTGAGCCACTCCACCTTCCACCAACACTTTTCGTGTTAGGTATTTTTGAGATAGTGTCTAGTGAACTATTTGTCTGGGCTGGCTTCAAGCCATGATTGTCCTGATCTATGCCTCCTGAGTAGCTAGGATTACAGGCATGAGCCACTGGTGCCCAGCATGAATAATGGTTTCACTATTGATTTTTCTTTTTGAGACAGGGTCTCACTATGTTGCCCAAGCTGGCCTCAAACTCAAGTCTCCTGCTTTAGCCTTCCAAGTAGATGGTCTTACAAGTGGGTGTCACTTGTTATTGAATTTAAAAGAAATTAATAAAGACTTAAAAATTCTAAGTTTTTCTTTTTTCATATAAGTACTGATAGGTATAGCTGCAAAAACTAAAGCACTTTAGGGTTTTCAATACATTTGAGATAAAGGGTCTTGAGACCAAAAGTATGCACAGTCTGTAGAGTACTTCTAACTCAATTGTAATACAATTATAAATAATAGTGTGTTCTTGTGGAAGGGGAAGAAATACTACGTGAACACAAAGAGAAAATCCCAGGCTTTTATTCCAAAAAAAAAAAGCATTTTAACAGTCACCATGCTGCAAAATAATGGCAGAGAACAGGAGTAATGTATTTGCTTGGAAATTTTTCAGGCATGACTTCACTGAATTTATTTTATTTTGGTGAATATAAACACAGTAGAGACTGTAAACATTAATAGGAATCATTTATTGAACCTCAATATTTCTAGATTAGCTATGTTAGAACTGTAGTTTACTGTATTATCAATACTAGGGAACTAGTAACTCTTGAACAGATTTATAGATAAAATTATTTATAGAGGGTCACTTCAAACAAGTACTGATTAAAACCATTTTTTTAATTAGTTACTGTAAATGCATTTTTTCCCCAAAATGTATTCAAAAGTTTTCTTCTTTAAAAACAATGTATACCTGCTGGGTATAGTAATACATTTCTGTAATCCTAGCACTTGGGAAGCTGAAGAAGGAGGATTTTGAGTTCCAGGCCAGCTTAGGCTACATAGTGAGATCCTGTCTCAAGAAACGGAAAAAAAAAGGCTGGTGGCTAGCGTAGCTCAAGTGGTAGAGTGCCTGCTTAGCAAGCATGAAGCCCTGAGTTCAAACCCCAGTCCCGTTAAAAAAAAAAAAAAAAGGTTAAAAACCATAGTAATTTAAGTAAGGTTAAAAGGTTAAAAACCATAGTAATTTAAGCTTATTATATATCAAGTAAGAATTTAAGCTCACTGCTTATATCTTACTTCCAATTCTAAACAATTGACCATTTTTGTAAAAATACAAAATGTTAATAAACACAAGTATTAATGACCAATAATTAAATGAAAGTATTGCTTCTTATTAACACACGTTCCAACACAGGTACTACATACTAGAAAATTCTTAGCAAGGGGTACATTAACAGCAACAAAATCATAGATAAATACAACTGGTATCAGAGTTAATTAACTATAGTGGAAGGAATGAACTTCAAATCATTCTAGACAAGGGAGGAGCTTCTACTTAAAGCTCTTCTGGGAAAATCACACCAATGATCTATCCTTAGATCATTTTCATTAGGCAAATTTTAATAGCAAAAGGATCAGTCACACTTTAAACTGACCTGTCTGCACAGTCATTGGTTGCTTGGCACATCTTGCTGGTCAAGAGAAGAGACCTTACCTAGGATAAACGTCACCGAAGATATGGCCCAATAGCTGGACACGAGCCAAGTAGCCTAAGAGTGGGTACACAGTCATCATCTGGAACAGCAGGAATATTCTTGCAATGAAGGACAAGGTGTCACTGCTAGGGAAGTTGTCCAAAAAATTCTAATCCAAGAAAGATAATGAGGTAATGTTAAAACTCAAATTCAGTACATACAATTCATAAAATGGAGTCTTCTGCTTATTTTGACCACAAGTGCTATAAAAATTGTGTTTCGTGAACTATGCCCATCTACAAACTGCTAGCTAACTATTTTTTCAATGAAGTGAGTACAGAAATTGAAATTAAGCATTTAGAAACTTTTATAGGAATTTGACACTGGCCTATTTTTATTCTATTTTATAAAACTACCAGTCTTCAACTGACATTAAAACAACAAAGAAAACCTGTTCTTCACCACAGACAGAGAAGCTGTCTATAAGGTTCAAGTACAATACCCAAATATTTTTTTTTCTTTTTTGCAGTGCTGGAAATAAGAGGCAGGGCCTTGTATATGCTAGGCAAGTACTGTACCACTGAGCTACATTCTCAGCCCTTGTTTTTTTTTTTCTTTCTTTCTTCTTCTTCTTTTTTTATTTTTTTTGGTTCTTACTATGTAGCCCAGACTTGCCTCAAACTTGAGATTCTCCTATCTGAGCCTCCAGAGTGCTGGGGTTACAGGCACGAGTCATTATGCCTGGCTTCCAAATCTGTTTTTAATATACTTAGATGACAAATTAAATTCAATGCTATTTTATCTTCACTAGCTCTCTTGCTTTTTCTCCTCTGAAGCATTGCAACACTTGCAAAGTAAAGATTACAGATTAAGGTGATGATATCTCTATCACCTAGCACCATCATAGTTTATAATCTATAACTACAGTAGGAAAGGATTTATTTCTACATTTTTTGGGTTTTTCTGTTTGTTTTTGAGACAGAATCTTGATCTGTAGCCCAGGCTGGCTTCAAATTCAGTAACCTCCTGCCTCTTTCTTCCAAGTGATGGGACTATAGATGCCTAGTGTCTACATTTTTTTAAAAAATCATCTTCTTCATTTTAGTTTGTATCTGAAAAAATATTAATCATTCAGAATTTATTTTCTTCCCTTTTCAAATACAAATACCATACATATTCCTATTCCCAAGGGAGTGGGCTTTATATGGGATTATTCATATTAGGGAAATTTTTAGCAGACTTTTGGCTGCCAAAGACCTTCTGGAATCAAGGAAACAAAAGAATACGAACATTTAAAAATAAACTATTATAACAGCAGTAACCTCTTTCAGAGATGAAAGCACAATTAACACTTACTGTACAGAAATAAACCTTACAAATCAGCTTAAAGCAATCTGTACATTCCACTATACCCTATTAGAGGGATTTCTTCTGATTAGAAAATCACCTATGAAATGCTGCTTGTCATGAGAAATTCTTCAGTCTTTTTAAACTAAAGAGTATAAAATTCCTAAGTTTTTTGATGGATTAAATCCATGAAAAGTTTACTTATGGCAATACTGAGTGAAAGATATTTTTTCTCTTATTTTTTGTTTCTCTTTCTCTTTTTAGCAGTCACTCTCACCGAATGAGAGTCACCTCTGTCATTCAAGAGTGATGAATCAAGCCTAGCTTATCTAGGGCATTTCTAGATTTGGGCTTTAGAAAATAAAGGAGTCAGTGCATTCTTTGTGGTGATTTTAAAAATTCACAAGAATTCCTGGTAATGGTTCTCTACACAAAGAGAAATGTGTATACATATAGTAGTCATTTATTTGAGTACCTCAAGGTACTTGGTGTGTACTACGTTATTTCAGAGTCTGTCTATAAATGGAGTATGCATTTTATTACTTAATGGAAAAGGAAACTCAGAAAGGATGGGGAAGGTACCAAGATCCCCACACTTTGAATAGATGGCAGAGATGGTGTTCAAATACAGACCTCTCTGATTTTATAGTTCATCACTATATCATCCTGCCTGCTAGTCATACATGAAGTATAAACAATCAGAGAGAGGAACACACTGTCTTACCTGCTCAATACAATCTTTGGATAATGGAGGTGAAGGAAATGAAGCAAAAACCAGGAATCCGATATAGAGATAAGTTAACGTCACCAGCATATAAGCAACACACAGGTCCCTCACCTGAAAATACAGAGCAAAATTCCCACTAAATAAGAAGAAATTTATAGTAAGGCTACTTAAATACACTAAGAAGACTGACAAATAAATACAAAATTTATGTGTTTTCCTGTATGAATACTTTCTATCCAGTCTCCACAGAAAGCAGTTAAAACTATTTTATAATTAGTCTTCCAGTTTTTTTTTTTTTTAAACCTGTCTGGAGTATGTAGACTAAGCTACCTGTTGGCAGGCTTAAGAAGTTAACATAAACTGTGGTTTAACAATACTGAAATTTATTTCAGAAGGTAATTTATTTACCAAGTTATAAAATATTTAGCTATAATAAAAAAGCTAAGGGATAAGAAAGTATAAGTCACCATCAGTATAACCTGCAAAATTTAAAACATTCTTCCTTTAGTATAGTAACTTACATCATCAAAGCATGCCTTGACCACAAGGGCAGAATGTATTAAAATATATTTAATAAAGACAGAAAGCTAGTTAAAGAACAGATGAAATATTAAGGACAGTTTAATAAACTTAAACAGTAAACAAAAGGAAATCAAAAGGCAGCTGTTTAAATAGCTGCACAATGTTATTCCTGGAATCAGAAAACAAACACAAATCACTAAATAAAGTGGATTGTTTTCTTCCACTACTGCTCCCTCCCTCTGATCCAAAATAAAAAGCTCCAAGATATTTAATGCAGCCAGCTGTCAGATCCAAACAGAACAGATTCCACAGCTTGCAAATTGTCTCCATTACCACTGAAGTTACAGCCAAACAATTCAGCACAATTAAATTGGGGCAATAAGCCTATTCATTTTTCATTTTATACATAAATTACTTTGAAAGTTAAGAAAACAGATTAGAAGAAATTATATGCAATGTTTTTTAGTTTGATAACACAGTAAAAATGTTTGGACATTTGGAATTAGGGAACATTTCTGATTATCTGAATAATTCCTTAAATGGACTAGCACAATAACAGTGTTTTATAAACTTGAAGTTTTATAAATCCAGTTAAAAAGCAAGTAACAAGCTATGAGAAATCTTAAGATTGGGTCTAAACTGAGGTTCAGCTTGAAAATAAACCAGGGATTCTACACCCTAAATGATATGATAGCTAGGCCTATGGAGCTAAAGGGATATGCAGATTGGTTCCAGCTCTTACCAATCTCTGGAAGAGCTTATTGTTCAGAGTGGAGGGATCAGAAGATGACAAAATCTCCAGGAAGGGCCTTCAATATCTTTCCTCTTTAGTTCATGAAGCTGTAGGAGCCATGGCAGGCTAGAATTCGGCTACCCCTAGGGTTGCCTCAAGGTCTCGTGTGGGATAGACAGAAATGAACCAAGCAATGCCTATTTTTCATATCCAAGGGTAGTAGTCTCCAAGTATTATGTTTCAAAGTCATTCCCTCCTCAACCTGCTCAAGCCACTCAAAAACAGAGGTGGCCTTAATAAAAAAAAAAAAACGCTGAGAGGCAAAACAAGTGTGCTAGAGAGAAAGAGAGCTATATATAAAGAGGGATAGTCACCTGATTACACTATTTTGGTATGACTTCCTGAAAAAAAGTGTACTTTAGAGCACACAGTGGGAAATCTGATGAAGATACAAAGGCTAAAATGTAAGTGTTTCCCAATAAGACAGTCCCCTTCGCTTCCCTGTTCTCATGGTATTGTTCACATATTTCAAATACAGCAACTATCACACCTGTATTATACCTGTCATCAATTTTCACTATAAAAATAATTGATTTTCATGACATAAAGGTTCTCAAGTGGTGAGAAAATGTCCCTTGACATTAAAAAAACCAGCCAAGTTTAATAGTCTTAATTATATAGTCTTAATAGTTTAAATTATATAGTCATAATAGTTTAAAAGTTTAATAGTCTCATGTTGCTATTTAATTTTCTCCAAATCAGTCCATAGCACTAGACTATGAGATCCTAACGACAGGAACTGTGTCTTTTTTATCTTATATTCCCAAAGCCTAGGACAACCCCTGGTACATAGCAGGAACTCAATGTAGATTAGAAAAATAAGCACAATGGCTTCATTGATTAAATGCTTGTAGGGGCCAGGTGCTGTGTTAAGCTACATATGTAATTGCTCATAACACACTTAAAATGTAGCTACAGTCAATTTTTTCAGTGCAGCAAAGTTACAAAACCTATTCATGGTTATAGGTAAGTAGCAGGTGAAGCCAATATTCCAACCAAGGTCTTTCTGGCTCTAAACGGCATGCCCTTAGCTACTGTGACAGAGAGCTTACCCATCTCCAGTGTACTTATGTCATAGTTAATAAATAATAATGCAAAAAATGAAAGAGAGGCAACAAGTTATGGGTAACAAAGTATATAATATGACAGCACAATTAGAGATGCCAAGAAAAATACTAAAACCTGCACAGTTCTGTCTCATGGTATTCTAACATATATTCAGTAGAACTGGGTTAGGAGCTGCATTATCTGTTTTCATCTGAAAATATTCTAATGAACAGAAATGATGCTTTCATTACAAAAGCAGCTGAGGTTTGGCATGATCTGGGAGACATGCCACCTATGAGTAGCATGCACATATGTGAGACTTGGTATTGTTTGGCTCATACCCAGCCACCACTGTATTAGGCCTAAAGATATGGACTCTTAAAACTCCATCTAATGGAAAAGGGTAGGAAAAGATATCTTTTAGAAAACAAGTTCAAAGTAAAAATATATCTAAAAAGAGACAAAAGTGACAATATGAATAGGTAGTATGTCAAGAAGCCTGTACAATAATGTAACCTATTGTGTTCATGAATAACAAATGGCTGGCAAAACCGATGGCAGGAAATAAGGATGGATAGAAAGTCAACTTAGAATGAGGACTGGGTTTACAGAATGAGCAGAAGTAAGTCTGGGAGCACATTCTGTTTCTCCAACATAGTTTATTATTTGTTCCATGTACCGTTTGTAGTGAAAATACTACCCAGTGGGGCATTTACTATGAAAAATGAAGAAACTGACCACACAGACCTACCACAAGCTGGTGTATGGCCAAGTAAACTACAGATTCATATGAAGAAGAAAAAAGTAAATAACAAAAAGAAAAAAATAAAATTCATGAACTATTAAAAAAGTAACAAATTAAGATATAAGGCATCTCAAATTGTTTTAAAGAACATCTTCAACTTTACTAAGAAAAGAAACAATATCCTGTTTAGTTATACATTAAAAAAAAGTGACAGGGCGGTGGAATGATTCAAGTGAGAGCACCTGCCTAGTAAGTGTGAGGCCTGAGTTCAACTCTCAGTATTACAAAAAAAAAAAAATTGAGGTTTAGTGAAAAATTACTACAACTGTTTAGGAGCCTCATTATGTCTTTCTTTACAAACATCTTTAGATTTAAGTCAACTACTGTTATGCAGAAGAGAAGGGAGAGTTTTCTATTCTTTTGTCTCCTTTTCTACTTTGAAACTTTTGTTTGCTGATCTTGGAATGGCTAACCCAATGTCAACACTGCAAATTCAGAGTCCAAGCACAACTTCACATTTTCTGACTTTAACCCCAAGAAAATATTATATCATGAGAGTAACTGGACTTTTATAAGGCAAATTACTTAGTGAAACCTAAAAGGTATAATCATTAAATAATACAAATGAAAAAGTTTTCTCAGAATATCCATTTAACTTGATTCATACTAATATATAGGCCAATTTCAGTATAATCAAAAGGAGAATGTATATAATTACATATATCTGAAGCATTTAGAAATTTAAATTTTTTAAAGTATTTTTGTTAGCACATGTTAATTGCACAAAGGGGTGTCACTGTGGTTTTTCCACACATACATATAATGTACTTTGATCATGGTCACCCCCTCTAGGACTCTTTCTGATGTCTCTCCGCCTTTTTATTTTTTACTTTTACTTACTTTTATTAGCATAAATTAATTATACAAACATTAGTTATAGATGTGTAAAAAGTACTTTGATCAAATTCACCCCCTCTATTGTATTCTCCTAACCCTCTTCCCACTTTGGCAAACAGTATTGTTTCTTTATGCTTTCTTCACGCATGCATGCACGCACGCATGCACATATAAATGCACTTCAATCACATTCACTCCCAGCACCCTCTCCTTTCCCTGTCCACCCTCCCGCTGATTTCTCCCTGCCACACAATCCACCTTTATACTCATGTCCTATTATTATTATTATTACTATTATTATCAGTTGATGTATAAATGCACGAGTGAAAACATGAGATATTTGGCTTTTTTTTGTGGGACTAGGGTTTGATCTCAGGAATTCATGTTTACAAAGCAAGTGCTCTAGTCCATTTTGCTCTGATTATTTTAGAGACAGGGTCTTGTGAACTGCTTGCCTGGGCTGGCCTTGAACCTTGATCCTCCCAAACTCAGTCTCCCAAGTAGTTAGGATTTACAGGCATGAGCCACCACCAGTACCTGCAAGATATTTGGCTGTTTGAGCTTAGCTTAGCTTATTCAACATGATGATCTCCAGTTCCATCCATTTTCCTGCAAATGACACAACTTCATCCTTTTTTATGGCTTTATAATATTCCATTGCATATACATACCACATTTTCCTTTTCCATTCATTAGTTCTTGGGTACCTACAATGAGGTCCTAGCACTCAACTGGCTGAGTCTGGAGGATCATGAGTTTGAGGCAGCCTGGGCTACTTAGCAAGACCTATCTCAAAATAAAACAAGACAATAAACAAAGTATCAGAAACACTGAGCATTAGAGTATTTAATATTTTTGTAAAAATTTAACAAGAGTATGAACTATGCTTGCCTCCTTATTATTGGATAATTTATAATATGGAGCAAGCGCCTTGGTAAAATGTCATACTCTATCACTCTAACTTTGCATGACTTCTAACATTACTTCCTTTGTGTTTTAATGTTGGGAAACAACTGAAAATTCTTTTAATGTGAAGTTTTCTGACAGTGGCACTTCCCCTGGAATACCTTCCTTCTTGTCAATGACAATCACTTTCCAAGTTCAAGTTGATAGGTTCACTTTCCATAAGCTCCTCTAGCTGTATATCTGGAGTCTCTTGAATGGCAGCAGTGTCATCATTTCTACAATCAGCTATTTTTTTTATAATTCCACTTATGTTTAATTTAAATTTTGTCTTCAACATTATCACTTTCTGTTTCATTGCTGCACTTTCACCTTTACTTGCCAATTCCTTTCAATTATCAATTTTTATAAACTGTCATGTGGATTTATTGCTTAGAGACAAGAAGGTCATACAACTACTCACTTTGTAGACTCGGGTAACTGAAATTTGAACAATCTTGCAGTTGGTGGGGACTGATGTAATGTAAATCACAATCATTAAAAGTTGTGCATTAGGAACCATGCAACATTAGACTGTCTGTAATTTAACTCATTATCTTAAGACTGTTTTGTGAATGAACATTTAAGATTAAACATAAGACTTCAATGAAATTATGTTCTTACATTCCTACATATGCAAGCTTGTTCTTTGTTATTAGGGAGATACTGATGGTAAATTTTGAGAAGCACAGCCTTATGACAGAATAATCCAATACATGATTGTATTGGATTACATGATTAGCTTGGTCTAAGTTGGTGTAAGAAAATAGGCTGTAAATGTCAGGAGAGAAAGGGTAAGAGAAATTTCCAGTCCCTAGTGTATATCAGTAAATATTAAACATGTTTCCCTTTTTACATTTAATTCTTATCACAACTCTGATGTTATATTACGAAAGGGCTGGGGTATGGCTTAAGAGGCCCTGAGTTCAAAAACCCCAGTACTATTAAAAGAAATAAAAATAAGACATATAGCTAATAAAGCAGTAATAGTGATGAGATTATTAAAAAATGCTGAACTAATCAAAAAGAAGCTAGGTAAAAGGGAACAAAGAATGAGCAAACAAATAGCAAGATAATTACATTAAATTTATAAATGTAAATGGTCTAAACACCATAATTAAAAGAAATTGTCAGATTTGTTAAAAAATAAAACTATGCTTTCTGCTTTAAATATGAAGGCATGCCTTTCACACACTAAACATAACAAAGTGGAGCAGCTGTATTAATATCAAAAGTAGACTTTCTTTTTTTGACAGTATTATTTGAATTCTGGGCCTTAGGCTTTCTAGACAGGCATTCTACCACATGAGCCATTTTGCCAACCCCAAAGTAGACAAAGAATATTGCCAGAGACAAAGAGGAACATTACATAATGATCCTTATGGACCAATTCACCAAGAAGACATAATAATCTAAACCTGTATGGACCCAGTAACAGACCTTCAAAATAAATGAATAATTGACAAACTAAAAGAAGCAGACAAATCCACAATTATAATTGGAGATTTTATTACCTCTCCATTGATAACTGGTAGAACAGACAAAAATAAGAATATAAAAGCAGGAAAAATACCACTAACCTATTGGATCTGACATTTGCATAAGTCTTCTCTCAACAGCAGAACACATTCTTTTCAAATATACAGGAACATTTACCAAGACTGGGCTATGTCGCAACACAAATCTCAATAAATTTAAAAGGAAATTATATCAAGTATGTTTTTCAACCATAATGGAACGAAATTATACATTAATAACAGGAAGACACTTGGGAAATTCACAGATATGTGGAAATTAAACAACATATTTCTAAATAACCAGTGGGTCAAGGAAGAAATCACAAGAAACAAAATGTTTTGAGATTACTGAAGATGAAAACTCAAGATACAAAAACTTATGGGACTGTAGCTATAGTTGTACTTGGAAGGAAATGGATAGCTGCAAACACTTGCATTAAAACTGAAGACAGATCTATAGTTAAAAATCTAACCATCTATTAAGATACTGGAAGAGAAGAGCAAATTAAACTCAAAGCAAGCAGATGTTAATCAGTTACTTAGTGCCTTCTCTGCAGAGTTTGAACTCAGTTTGACAGCTTTTAACCACATAAGCAAAAATCACAATGGAACTCTAATAGAGGTCTTTACAGTTGCTAGAGAAATAAAGAGGAAGGAAGGATGCACTGTGCCTGGGGACTCTGAGATGGCTTTGAGTTTGGGCTAATGTTTGCTAAAGTCATTATGAAGACAAAAAGCTTTGTAAGTTGAGGGAAGTTAGGTCTCAAATTAGGGTAAGCATGTAATCAATCTCTCCTATCTTTATCTTTACTGACCATACATCTGATATGTTACTTGTAAGTGGAATTGGAATCTGAATTTGTGCCAGACTTCTTAACTTGATGACCTTACCTCAAACTTCATTTTCCTCACCCATAAAAATTAAACCATAAAAATAGCATTAATAATATCTACCTCACCTGTGGACCCTCCTATTTATGTTTTCTCTGCATAGCTGAAATAACAGGCATGCACTACCATGTCCAGCCATTGGTTGAGATGAGGTCTTGTGAACTTTTTGCCTGGGTCGGCCTCAAACTGCAACCTACCACCTCCCTCCCCCCGCCCCAAATCTGTCTCTCATATACCTCTTTCTTGCTTTCTAGCAGGGGCAAACTATGGCTCATGTGTCAAATCTGACCCACTTCTGTTTCTGTAAACAAAGTTTTACTGAAACCCAGCCACACTACCTATTTGTTTATTTATTGTGTGTGCTGCTTTCATGCCACAACAGCAGAGTTGGGTAGCTGTCACAAGATCACATGGTCTGCAAGGCCTAAGATAGTTACAATTTGAGCTTTTTGAGAAAAAGTTTGCTGACTATTGCTCCATAGTTTAAACTTAAAAATTAAGGTGCTGAAACAAATTGCATAATTGTACTTCAATACAAAGTGCCTTAAACACTGACTTAACAAGTCTATGGTTAGGAAATACAAGTCAGTTCCTCAGATAACTACTCACATTGTTGTCTTGGTCCTTGTTGTTTTTCAAGAGTGTGATAATACAATTATGAATAAAGAAAGCAAGAGTAAGCACTCCAGTCAGCTGTGGAAACTGAAATCTTATCTCTAGGAGAAAAAGACACACACACACACAAATGTTAAAACTGACAAGCAGAAAATAAGCATTAGCAGCCAATAAAACCCAGTTGTCTCTGTTTTGTCCAGGGAATAAGAATATCAAAATGTCTTTACAAAAGTCTTCAAGGTCAGCATTATACTTGGCAAAGCACTTACAAGGAAAAGAAAAGGCATCAAGAATACCTGTTTTGGGTAATTAGTTCATAATAGTTTTTCCTGTTTGTGGTCACACAACTACTACATGGCAGAGCAGGATTCAAATTTAAGGTCTGTCTGACTCTAAAGTCGTTCATTTTTCTAATACCTGAATTCGTCAGAAAAGAACCTTTAGAAAAGGAACTAGGGGAAGAAAATTGGTCATTTAACATTCTTAAATGGCAAATCTAAAAGGTACTACTTAAAAATATTAGAAATGAATGCTCACTTAAAGGGAACTGTTTTAACTAAGAGTGCACAAAGGTAAACAGTATTTAAACATTATGCTGTTGGGGAGGATTTTATGCTATGACACATTCATGAGTCAAATAGCATATATACTGTGATTTTACTTTTATTTTTAAAAATGCATGTGTGTGTATACAGATGCATGTATACCAAAAAAAAAAAAAAGACTGAAGGGATGTCTACAAAAATATGAACAGTAGTTATCCCTAGTTGAGAGGATTTATTTTAAATTAACCTTTATCTGTATTTTCTAAATTTCCTAAAATAAACACAGTTATTTAAAAATAATAACATTTTAAAACCACTGCCAATTTTTGTTTTGAGGACTGCTAATAAATAAGTTAAAAATGATTTTATATAGAGTAAGACTACAGTTTACTTGGAAATGCTGCTGGATCTAGGCAAAGCATGTGGCAAAGTGGAGAACAAGTCATCTGAGGGGACACCTCAGAGTAAAAACAGAAATGTACATCCTTAGTCATGAATGCAGGTCAAAACAATATTAAGATCCCATCTTACCCTAGTCAGATTGACATTCATCAAAAAACAAGTAACAAATGCTGGTGATGATGTGGGGAAAAGGAACCATCATACTCTGTTGGTGGAATGTAAACTAGTGCACCCACTATGGAAGTCAGTATGGTGGTTCATCAAAAACCTAAAAACAGACCTATCATAAGACCCTGCTATATTACTTTTGGACATATATACAAAGAAGTATAAATCAACACACAGGAGAGATCCCTTCATACCCATGTTCACTCTATCACTACAGCCAAGTTGTAGAATCAGCCTAAGTGCCCAATAACCAATAAATGATAAAGAAAATGTAGTATATATAAGGAATATTATTCAGCCATAAAGAAAAATAAAATTATGTTGTTTGCAGGAAGATGAATGGAAGTGGAGATCATGCTGAATGAGATAATCCATGCTCAAAAAAGCCAAATATTGGATATTTTCACTCATTTGTGGAATCTAAACCTAAAATGATGATGATAATCATCATAATAATGGACATGAGTGCAAAAGGGGACTGTTTGGCAGAGGGGAATCAGCTATTGGGGGAGGGGAAGAGGATGGAGTATTGAAGGGGTGAAGAGGACGGAAGTACATTTTATATGCATTTTATAATATATATGAAGATAGCAAATGAAACCCACCAAACACTGACAAAGTGGGGAGGAGCAAGAATGATTAATGGAATATAATAGAGGGGGTGAAACCTGTTCAAAGAACACTGTATGGATCTATGAAATTATCACAATGAAACCCTCTTGTACTATCAATGTATGCTAATTAAAACAGATTTAAAAAAGCCCACTGACTTTTTGCTATATTATTTTAAGAGATGAAGTAAGAATAATTAAGAATCAAGCACCCACTCTAAAGATATCAGAGGTAAGACCAATAAAATTATATTTCCTGTATTGTATCATGTTTTTGCTTGCCTGTTAGCTTTTATCTAAATTTTTTCCTATGGAAGAAATTCAGTGTAATTCCCTTAGCCATTCCTTCCTTTTTTCTGTCTATAACTTTTTAAGTTTTTTGTACCTCAGCAATAAAATAAAATTTGAAGGTATTTTCTTCTTTTTAAAACCTCTGATAAATTGGGATCACTTAGAACAACAGGAAGCATTATACATATACAATTATAGACACTATTTTTGAAAATATGCATTATTATTTACAGATGAACTTATTACTGCTGATATTTTTGACAGAGAAACAACTGAAAAAAACTCTTTAGCAAGAATCCAAAGTAAGGTAGCTAACTTGAAAGAATTTTTTTTTAAACCCTTGTTTTTACACACCTATAATAACTGGTTAGAAGCTATAAGAAGACAAAGGATCTCAGTCACAATAGTAAAATGGCCTATGAGTAACTTATATTAATAGGCTAAATTTATATTAAATATCATAAAATTTTATTGTGACAGTCGAGGAGGTGTACTACTCAGATCTCCTTCAAGTGAGAACCTAAAGGAGGGGAGTACATTTAGCTGATAGCCTCCAACTGCAAGGTTCTTGGGGTCTGCTGCCCTGATCATGCAGGAGTCATTTTGCCACTAGGCAGCTCCCAGCCAAAGACTGAGCATGCAGGGTACTCGGGCCTGACCAATTTTATGTAACCTTGGATTCCATTCCGCCATAGGCAATCTTTGCATTAGAGCTTCACACTGGGTTGGCTAAGACCTTCTGCCCAACCTACCCCCTTTCTTTCTCTCCTTTCATGGAATGTATGCCCAGCTGTGGTCCTATGTAGTCACCTACTCCCAATTCCCTTAATCTTTCATAGTGTTGCTACAATACATTTCTTGCACTTATAACTCTATTTTTGGAGAACTTGAATCGGCCCAGTAGTGTCTGAAGTGACCTGGAAGACAGGCAGTGAGAAGGGACTGGGACCCTGGATCACTTATCACCCAGTTTTCAGTTATCATCTATACTGTGTATGATGTATCCCAAGGTTCCAAATAGTGTTTTTACCACTGTTGCTTTGTTAGATATCCTGGTTGGTTCTGCCAGAGTGAATAAATGAGATATATAGCACCTCTGACGTTCCATTATGAATTGTTTTTCAGACAGAGAATTATAGGACTATTTTCCTTATCCTATTCGGTCTACTGAAGACACAGAAGCTATCTTCCAAATAAGGGAAGGAGAACATCATAATGACCTCTGGAGCTATTTTTAGCTTAAAAGAGAAGGCTTTTCAAGATCTAGTTTTTTCCTTTTCCCCCTTGTTAGTCATAAAAGAATAGCCCCCAATTCTCCATTTAGAAACTCCTTTTGGCCTTCAGACTTTCTTGTGGAGAACCTTCTCTGATACCTAATATGATTGTTAATTCACAACTTAATCTTATTGCTCAACTGTAATCTCTTGGAGGGCAGTGGTTCATGTCTTATGTAATACTGTGGGCATGTATAGGAACACTCATTTATTTTTCAGAATGAAGTAATTTCAGTCCATAGAAATGGTAACATTCTACTTAAAAATGTTTTTCTATAATGATTTTGCTTTGTTTTTAGTATAGTCAGAGTTGTGTGACCATAAAGCACAGTACTTCATTTCTTTTCTATAATATTCCACTGTAGTATACCAACTTTATACATTCATCAGTGACAGATACTGGGTTGTTTCCACTTTTGACTATTATGAATAACGCTTGTATGAACATTAATGTACATGTTTTTGTGTTGAAATACACCTTTTAAAGAACATAACATTTATACCATGATTACTACATAATAAATTAATGAGACAAAGTAAATTCCTTCACAAGAGGCTTTGAAGAAGTCCTAAACTTCTGATCATTTTCCAGACTGCTGTATTTCTTTTTGAAAATACATTATCAAAAGAGATGTTAGCATGGCTGGGCGATATAACTTAATGTAGAATGGCTTTGCCTAACATGGTGCAAGGCCCTGTGATTTGATCCCTAACACTGCAAGTAAGACAGAGAGAAAGTCAGAATGAACATAAGCAGATAGGGCAGGAGATAACTGCAATTCAGATATCTGACAAAGGACTCAAATCCAGAATGTATAAGAACCCTCATAAATCAATATGGAAAAAATCAAACAATTAAATAAAAAATGGGCAAAGACTTGAAAAGATACTTCATAAAGGAGGAACTCCAAATGGCCAATGACCATATTGAAAATATGCTAACTTCAATAGTCATCAGGGAAATGCAAATGAAAACCACCACACACTAGAAAGTCTCGATGAGAAAGAGAAAATGAGTGTTGGTGAGATGTGGAATAACTAGAAACGTCCCAAACACTGCTGGTGAAATGTAAATTTGAGTACAACCATTTTGGAAATCTGTTTGCTAATATCTCTAAAGCAGAAACACATAACATACCCTTTTGACCTAGTAAATTCTACTGCTAGGTTTATACTCAGGACAAATAGCCACATGTTCACCAAAAAATGAAGTAAGAATGGAAAGTGCTGCAATAAAGCAGTTAAAAACTGGGACACTACTCAGTGTTCACAAATTTCAATGGTGAAAAGTATAAACAAATTGTGAGAGATGTGAAATGAAATGCCAATGAAAATGAACTACAAACATCTGTACAATAGGATCAATCTCACAAAATAATTGTTGCATTGCAAGACCAGATCAAATAGAACTACTAAAAACACGACATATCATCATTTAAACAACGTTCAGAAAACTTAAGGAAAGAATATTGAAGGCTGCAAGAGAGAAAAAACAATAACATAACAAAAGGTAAACCCATTCAAAAATCACAGCAGGACATTCTCACAGGAAACATTAAAAGCAAGAAGAGCGTGGTGGTGAGATCTTCCGGGAACTGAATGAAAAATAACTTTCAACCCCAGGATACTCTACCCAGCAAAGCTATCATTCAAAATAGATGGAGCAAGTAAAGTCTTCCATGATAAAGCAGGAAACTAAAACAATATGTGACCCACAAAGCCACCATTACAAAAGATTCTGCAAGTCCTGCACAACAGAAAGTGGGAACACCCAACTTAACCATTTGAAAAAGGCAGGCAGCACAAACCACAGGATAAGAAAAAGAAGACAGAAGGGAGATTAACATACAAGTTAGGTACACACAATCAAACTTCAAACAACTAAAGATAACTAAATGGCAGGAATCACCACATACCTATCAGTACTAACACTTAATGTTAATGGACTTAATTTCACCCATCAAAAGACACGTTTGACAAAATGATTAAAAAGAAGAATCCAACAATTTGTTGTGCTTACAGGAGACTACATCTCACCGACAGAAAATTAAGGCAATGCTTAGGATGTGAAAGGGGGACTGAAAGAACATTATACCAAGCAATGGCCCCCGAAAACAAACACGCGCAGTAGCAATACTTATCTCTGACAAAAGTAGGACTTCAAACCTACATTGATCAAACAGATAAAGAAGGACATTCCATACTAATAAAAAGGGAAATAGCCAAAAGGGAAATAATAATCATCAAATCTGTACGCACCCAATGTCAACGCACCCCAATTTCATTCAAACATACCCTGAAAGCACCTAAAAAGCATATATAAAC